TGGAGCGCCTTTCGATTGCATAACCAAAACGAAAGTAATCCTGTCGGCCAATCAGAAGAAAGGAAAATATCTTTAAGAGCCAATGAGAGTAAAGTGAGAGTGAAACAAAACTTACCGAAAGCAGCCATCCAATGCCGTAAATTAGTAAGAAGACGGCAAGCTGTGGCATAAATCATAAATCACGTTCAGTAAGTTGTGTGCAAAACTTTTCTTCTGACACTCAATACAAATTTTTGTTTCAATTTACCCCTTTCCAGACGATAATAAAAAATACGATCACTCCAAAATTGAAAAAGAGCTCGAACATGCTCCATCCAAGCCAAGGAAATGCCAAGCGCGCGTCACCCTGCGACGGAAAAGAACAACAATCAGTACAGTATACTAACAAATCAATGAATGCTGCATGAACACTCGAATTCTTGCGCGCTGATTGGCTAGTTCGGAAGTGAATAATAAGTACTAATGACCTGCAAGCAACTGACGAGACAAAATCGCGCGTCGTGAGTTCAATTTCCGATCATTTTTTGCCTTTTTTTTTTTTGTAACTGTGAGGTAGATACCAATTATCCCCCGAGCACCGAATTATTTCGACGATAACACCGAAACTAAAATACAACTGAGGTAGACTGAAATACTGATAAATAATGCATAACAATGGAAGAAAAAAAAAACGAACGAACGAACAAAACAGAAACAGCTAAATGAAACAAAACCAATGATTATGCCGGGTGGCGTCGAAAAGCCAGCTCCGTTGCAAAATCTTACACCTTGTTTTAACATTTCTAAAAGATGAATTATTATGATCCACTATGACAAAGTTTTATCACAATCTAAAATCTTCTCTAATAATTTTCAGTTATATACTGAATACGTGTTCTTGTTACAGGAAAATTATAATGTTGGACTTACTGAGCAACTTGATCCCAGAAGTAACAGGTTCCCCAACAGTGAGATCACTTTGAATGCGAGGTTAACGTAACACAGTCTGATGATCACTATAGAGATGAGCATTAGAGAAGAAAAATCAGTCAATGTATGGAAGATGGAAGATGGAAGATAGAGGATGTTCAATGGCTGCTTGAGGGATATAAATTCATTCATTCTGTTGTATTAGTTCGTGCAGGATAACATTTAGTCATACAATCCTTTAGTCAAATCAAATGTTTTGTCTCCAGAATCATTATCAATGGATTATTTAAACGAACGAACATTCAAAGTTATTGTCTTCTTTAGGAAAATTTTTATTTCCTTCGAATCCAACGTGGGTAAAATTGTTTTTTGTGCAATATAACTCAAACCCTTCACCCTTTCTTAGACGCACACGGCACGAATTTAATCAGGAGTGCCAAATTGAGACTATCCTAAAAAAACCTGTCGGACTTGCTCTCCTGCTAACTGAATTGGACATTTCCATAGAACACGAGTGGAACGTCACGTTTACGGCGCTTATTTCACGGAAGATGGCGGGAAGATCGAAATGGTCATATGTATTTTACACATTTGATAATCTTTCAACAGCAGACAACTTCATCCTAAACATGTGTCCATGCTAACATAGTTACGGAACAAGGCAAAAGTAAGCTGTAATACCTAGAAAATGCTTTTTGCTGAAAGGCAAATCTTGGCTGAGATCATCGGCGTTCTCTTCCAGATGCTTGTAAACTTTAATGTAATAACTTTGTCGATAAATTGAATATGCTGATACAATCTGTAATATAAATACGGAAGGTACTAGAAACAGGTTTGATATAGATTGAGCTACTTGAATCAGCCGACATATTAAATGGCTTCATAAGAATTTCTTCCTCCCTCAGACACTCGCGAGGATCATTTATTTAGTTCCATGTAAGATTTGCAAATGTAGCATATAATTTAAAAACAAAAAAAAAGAAAGCAATTAAAAAAACCACAGAACACAGTCTAAGCAAACGTTAAGAAATATACAGTTGCTCGTTCCGAAATGCCAGAATACGCGTTGTACGGTTAGCAACAACAGGATCTTTTTTAAACAGATAGAAACTATGCATTACAACTTTCAGACATTTTTCAAGAGATGGAACGAAATTTCGCGCAGTTAATCTCCACTTTAGTAATTTTTTGCGGAACTAAAATTGGGCAGTTTCTACAAAATCGAGCAGAAAATCGTGAAATCAGGTGGTTCGCGAAGGTATGAAAGCAGAGGAATACTTGAGAGTTTTGTACGATTAATCATTGTTAAAACTCACCAGGCCGAAGATTCCGAGAATCATAACACCTGTTCGTAGACTGCAGCCGCAGCAACAAGTTTCCAACAAAACTGCCATTGAACAAGTCGAAGTTACTCTTCTGAATCGAATGTCAAACCCAACTGAGGTCAGATGTTAATGTCAATGCTTTTAAGCCTTTCATATTTGAACGGATCCGTTTTTAAAAATTCCTCTTTGTAATTTTCCTTGCATATTGGTGGTTCACTACCAATGTTGACAAATTTCCGGTGTCAAAACAAAAAAAAATGATAAACGATTGTAAAATTACGGGCGTGCTGTAATTTCATTTGCGTTGCTTCTTCCAATAGGCCATTTTACAGTTGTGTGCTTAGTTGCCAAGCCTTTGATTTGGAGTGAGGCTGAAGGTGACCTTGTTGTGATAGAGACCAGTATCTAGTTAGCATGATAACAAAGTAATTTGCATTTGAAAAGCAGCAAGGTTTCTATCATAACAAGGTCACCCTTAGCCTCATTCCTGTTCAAAGGCTTGGCAACCAAGCTCACAACTGTAAAATGGACTATTGTACGACCAGGTAAAACTAAATTTTAGTAGTGATGGCGAAGACCATCATTGTGACAAGTTTCTATTTTCATGCGCACGTCATCATGGTAATGTTTAAAACGCGACAAAAGTTGTTTTTTCGTGTCTAATATTGCTAATTGCTTTAATTCAGTGAGTTATTTTACATTACGTTCGTATGAAAAGTAAAGGTCAGCCTCTTTTGTGAGTGTCAGGTAGTCACAGCATGTTTTATCAAATGAAGTCTAGAGGAAAAAAATAAATAGTTCGGCACGGGTCAGTTTGTTCGTCAATACAAGCCATTGTTTTAAACGACGCAATAAAAGGTTGACCTTGACTCTTAGTCATTTATTTTCTTCGCAGAAATAACCGGTTTTTATTCACCAGTTAAGCCTGTCCATAAATTATGAAAGCTTGAAACCTCGTTGATAAACCATTGAAAGCCTTTGGAAACCTATGAAGACTCAGTGTGATTGGTTATCAACTAAAACAAGAAAAAGAGGGATTCGTGACAAAATCGCATTGCCTGGAGCTAATCAGATTGCAAGGATCAACGGTGATTTAAAAAATATGTAATAAATTATAATGATGGAATGAGTGGAGTGTAACTTGGTCGGAAAGAATATGTGTAAGTTTAAATTCGAACCAGCGCGCAGCAAGAGTTGGATTCGAAATCTCACGTATTCAGCAACGTAATTTCAGACCAGAATTTTTAGTTCATTACATCAATTTTAAAATCGCACAATATCCAACATGTTTGTACAGTTGCAATATTTCATTTTCTTGCGGCCGGTTTAAAAAAATGAACCCAAGAAATGTATAGAAATATATCGCACTGCAAAGGGCAAATCAGAAGGCAAAGATCATTATTGATCCCAAAATATGAAGTGTATTGATAAAGAGGACGCTGTAGAAACATTTGACCGGGGTTTCGAACGTCTGTTCACTGTATTAATCTCTAGTAAGTCAATATTTCACTTGCCCACCAATGAAGCAGAGCTAGCATCGCTCGTTCTTTCCCACGGGCGAAGAAACACTAATGCCGAAGCGCTAAAAATAATGACCTGCTCATTCTCACCAAGCTAAGTATTTAAATCTAGATGCTAATTGGTAATCAGAAAAAAAAATAGTTAGGAAAGATTGAAAGAAGAACCGGCGGGAAAGAAAAATACCTGACAGTTGACTGTTCAGCAATACAACTCCGGGGGAAAAAGGCAAACATATCGTTACAGAAATTGAAGTTTTACAATGACATTTGAGCTTCTTATAGCCTTAATTTAACATCCAGATAGAAATAGTAGGAAGGAAACGCTTTAATCATTGCTGCAACGGCATAATACTCGTAGGAACTGCTTGTTATCTTATGAAAAATCGATTTCTTTCAAACTTTGAAATCTACCTTAGGAATCTACCTTAGTCTAAAAGTAATCGAATCCACGTTGGTTTTTACATATTTCCGGTCATGGGGTTGTAAGTGTCAAACAAAAAAAATTGCGGTGAAAAAAAACTGTTAAAAAAAATTACGTGTTTTGTCCTCATAAAGGGTTGATCTAAATATGCAAATCAAAACAAAACCCTCGAACTAGAATTTTGTGAAAAGACGAGCTCGGCAACTTGTGCCATTTTTGATTGTCGGTGTTGTTAAAAACTAGCGTTTAAGCGCTGAAGCGATTTTCACTCAGAAAAAATATGTATTTTGCTATATTTGCAAAAACCATGGTGGATTCGATTACTGTGAGACTAATGTAGATCCCTGAGCAAAGTTTGAAAGAAATCGATTTTTCGACCCGAAACGCACTGGACTGCTTTCAGAGAGAGTGTCTTAACTGCCATTTAGGGAGGATCATAAAAACAATACAGAGCCCAATATGGGGACCGGTTAAATTTGTAGCGTCACAACCGAGATCCTTCCACACACCCCAACCCCCCTCTGTATCAATATAATGCCAGGTCGCCAAGTCTCAATGAGCGCGCGCACATTCTCGGCGACACACACTCTTACTTCTTTGAAGCAGACAGATCTTTTGCCTGGATATAAAAGGAACTTAAATAGGGAACTAATTTTAAAAATAATAATATGCGATAAAAAGAAAGAGAAAAACGACAACGGATGAAACAAACAAACATTTATCGGATGGCTGAGGATTCGGTGGTGAAGCATTAGGTGGGCGGAGTTGGAGCTACGGGAGGAAGGTGGTAGCCCAGATTTTTTTCCGTTTCACTCCTTGTAAAAATTCTGTGTTTTTCTAAGGCTTTATTTTATGAAGCATACAAAAGTTAACAATTTTACCAAAAAGCAGTTAATTCTAGGGCTCCTAACAAAAGTTAATCGTTTTACCATGATGCAAAACGTATCAGCCATTTCACTTTTACAATGTTTTGCTGAGTTTACACAGAGTCGCCCTGGATTTCTACGTATGGAGGGCATTCCATTCCAGCCTGTTAAATGATAAACAAAACTACTTCAATAAATCATTAAACCTGGGCTCACTTTACAGATATATATATATATATAGTTTCACTATGTGGTCAACTTTCGAGCATGCCCTAATTGGTAGTGTGACACACGAGAGGCAAGGACCGCGCCTTTTGAGCCGGCGAACGATGTGAGTGCGCTTGCGCAAGAGAGGTTCTCGAGCAGCACTCTAATAAACCTCTTGCGTTCTCGCCTTGCTGGAAGGCTCCAACTCTAGTAGGCTTTGTTGCTTTCTCACAGGTTACAAAATGGTCATTGGTTTACTTAATTTCATTCGCAAATAGAATAAATGGACGAGAATAAAGTTTTTGATTGATTGAATTGGATCGTTAATTGCTGAAAAAAAAATCTCAATCGTTCGCATCGAAGTTCGACCACCTTTTCTCTTAAATAACATGCTAGTCTACTAGATCTACCATCGTAGTGTATTTTTGCACGGTAAAACAAAAATATTCATGGTGAATTTGACTTCCAAGTCATGTAGCATTACAACAGTGAAAATGTAATTACCCTATGGGTTTGGTTACCGCCTGTCAGAGGGGGAGAAAATCCTGCACTCGTTCCCGAAGGATCTTGACGAAGGGCTTCGATATACGAATACACCACTATGATGAAGTAGATCTTAGAAAAGAAAAAAAAAGGAAAGGAAGCAAAGAGGTCAGACCCAGGCCACCATCAAGTTAGGAGTATACAGTTGATCGAGTCGGAGAATATACCGCTTTTCGACTAAGTGTGATTAAACCAAAATAAAGTAATCACGACAGCAAATCAGAAAAAAGAAAAATGCCTTGAAGAGGCAGCGAGAATTCAAAGTAAAAAACAACTAGAGTGACTAAAGCGCGGGAAAACGCAGGCGACCAAGTCGTGATTGGTTTTAATTTTGCATCTGATTGGTAAGTGGCGTGAGTTTTCTCAAATCAAAGAGCGAAGTAAGACAAAATCAATGCAATCTCGAATCTCCTTCCACCCTGAAACAAAAATTGCTCTGAACATACCAACAGCAACCATTCAATGATGTAAACAATGAAAACGTCGGCAAACTGTAACATAGAAGGAAAAAGAATTCAGGTTAAATTCGTTGAAAAACTCTCTACTATTAATTAATAAAAAGGAAATAAAAAGTTGTTTTTATTTACCCCATCCCAGATGTCAATGTAAAATATAAACACTCCAAAACTGAAAAAGAGCTTGAATATGCTCCACCCGAGCCAAGGAAACGCCAAACGCTTGTCACTCTGCGACGACAAAGAACGATGGTCAATAAACTAACAAATAATTAAATAAAAAGCCAACGCTCCGAGCTGCAACTGTCTGGGTCGAGTCAAAAAGAAAAATCGGTGATTTGAAGCGAAAACCGCAAATTTCACGATTTGTGTTTTGCGGTCATATAAACATTTTTCTCTCTTTTTTTTTTTTTTAGTATTGAATTAATGTGAGATAATCATTCGAATACACAACTATGAAAGCTTTTCTGGCGCGTGATTAGTCTAAACGCATCATAGGATCGTAATACTCCCCATTTTTCAAACCGTACATCAAGGACTATGAAGGCGTTTATTCATAATTGAATTCAACACGAAAGAGTGTTTACGTATTGTTACATTTTCCCGTGCGTTGAAAGTTGCAAAACATATTTTGATGATAGTAAACACAACATCCTCCGTTCAGCGCCAAAATATACTCGTACATTTGTCCTTGGAATTATCTATCCCTCGAGGCTCACAGTTTCCCTCACGGAAGAGATCATGTTTACTGACGAGTATCCGTGCATATTTTCGGCCAAATAGAGACTATCGTTCACGTAATGCATAAAAATGAGAGAAAAAACAAACAAACAAACTTACAAAAACTATTCAGCGAAGCAAAACCTTAATTAATGAAATTTTGACTTAGAAAAGCCGTTTTCATCGCATAATCTACCCGCTAGTTTTAAATTTCCAAAATAAGAATTATTGTGTACCACTAAGACAAATTTTACCATAATCTTTAATCTTCTCAAATTCTTTTTAAGTTACGTGCTTAGAATTAGTGCGTTGGACTTACTGAGCTACAGGATCCCAGAAGCAACAGGTTCACCAACAGTGAGATGACTCCGAATACCAGGGAAACATAAGTCAATATGACGATCGCTATATTTAGAGATGATCATTAAAAAAAAAAAAAGTACATCAATCTATTAATCAATTAAAAAATAATCAGAAAATTAGAGAGAACCTTGTCTGGTTAGGACGGTTCGTTTTGCAGAAAAAAGGTTTAAACATTTTTAAAAAATTATTGGTGGAACTTTCATTTTTACACACGATCAGGAACCAAAGTAAAATATATATCAGAGTCACTAAAAAAACCCACGCTATTCCACGTATAATCTCACAAATGAAAATATTTTCGTCCTAGCTAACCACGTGTTCTTTCTAACAGGTTTCTTTGGAACAAGACAGAAGTAAACTGTAATACCCAGGAGATGCTTTTTGCTGAAAGGTAAATCTTGGCTGATTTCGTCAGCGTTCTCCCCTACATACTTGTCAACTTTGATGGACTGACTGTGTTGATAAATTGAATAAGCTGATCCAATCTGAAATATAAAAAAGAAACGCAACTACAGATCAGATTTTTATATACCACCGCAAATATAGATTGCTCTCTTTTGAATTCACCAGAAAAACATGCGAAGGTTTGAATTTCAAACTAACTTGAGTCATTTGTGATGAGGAAGGAAGAGGCTATGTTACACAGTTGGACGGCAGATATTTGTGCGCCGATCAATTCGAACTCTCAATATCTCTCCCCTGCCGCCTTCCCTCTCCCCCTCCCCCCCCCCCCCCCCTTGAATAAAAGGGAAAAATCTAGAACTGAAAATGTCATGAATGCTTAATATACGATATCACTACCGTGACTATAAGAACGTAGAATTGTCTTTATTGCGGAATATCAATAATTGACATCAGGGTCACTGTACTTGCTACGCTTGCTTTAAAAACGTGCTTGCTTCGGCGCTCAGGTTTTGCAATCAATATTCTTCAATTCAATCGATATTCCTTATGTTTTCTTTCCTTTTTTTCCCACTCACATGAGTCGTATACAAATTGAAAATTTTAGACAGATTTTCTTAATATTATATGTCTTAAGTGATAAGGATGATCAAAGACCGGCAATGTGTGTATCGCAAAGAATGTTCCAGATGATTGTTTGTGATCCCAGCTCCCTTAGGCACAAGGAAACCGAAAATAACAAGATAAAATGACATATTTAACTATTTCCATCAGTCACATAGACTTTTCTTAAGCGATTGAGGGATAAACTGGTAATGTTCACTTGAAATATGCCCCTACATATCGTTCATTGAATAACTATCATTTTAGTCACGATAGGACGTGCTGTTTGCCAACTCTTGGCTAAATTTCTTTTTCATGACGTGTAATTTTTTATCACACGTTTGTCACGTGGTGTGTGACAAAAAAAAAATAGGTAAGTGACCACCAAAAGCTTCTGAAAGAATACGATATTTTTTCACGTGCGTCTTATATCGCCAATCAGCCGCTTACACTGCACTCGCCTTTCGCGCCACTCGGCCAGGTTGATGAATGAGTAGCAAAGCCTTCACCATTCTCAATCCGTGCTTGTTTTTCAGACTTTTTCTAAGATTATGACTGCTAAAACAATGAATAATTCGCACCGCTTACCGAAAGCGACGTTCAAACTTTCTAGAGGAGAAAGAAAACAAAAATACGAAGAGTAGCTTTGGTAACAGTATTTCTCGCGGCTGAGAACGAAAATCGACAACTGGAATATTTGCCACAGGCCACTTTTGGCTGTGTGCCTGAAAGATTTCTTCTGTCGCTAGGGACAAAGTCGGTAACATCTCACTCATTCTGTGCGATCACTATTAAGCTATGGAGTTAAACACGAGAAAAGAGATTCCATATCTAAGCGCGCCCATGTGTAATTCTCTATGAATACGTTTCTATAACATGTTATTTCACTGTGCAGTTTGAGGTGAACTGAAAGTGTTGCTTTCGAATCGTGCGTGATTTCATTTTTTTCCGGTTTCTTTTCTTGAGATATTTTGAAAAAAAAATTGTAACTAGTAAAACTGCGTTTGTAAATCCTTCTGTGATAGAGGAACGTTTTGAATTCTCGAGCTATGAGTGCGGGGTGCAGCGAGTTGGCTTCAAAAATTCCGAAAGTCATCCAATAAGAACCCAATAGAATTTCCCTCGCTTCACTCATGAAGTTTCGTAGCTTAGTTGATGGCAGTGAATGACTAGTATTTGAGAGGTACACTTTCGAATGCTGTTGGAGCCTGAAGTTTTTCCGGCTTCTTTTCTCGGTCTGCGATTTCTTTATCAGCAGGTCACCAGAGAGGATCATTTCTTTATTTCAAAGTAGTAGTTGCAGCTGCAACATCTAATTTTACCGTGAAACAATTTCTTCTACAATGCCCGTTTTTGACCGAATGAAAGTATGAAGTTTGCAATGTCAGTTGCTCAGTCGTCCTGAAATTTCAGAAAGCGCATATGTCTCTGCGTTGACGTTGACGATATTCCACGTGGTTAATCTTTGCTCTAAGTATACTTTTCCCAGAACTTAAAGTTCGCGATTTGTACGGAACTACCATTACTAAGGTATGAAAAGCAGAAGGATATTTTAGGTGGTTATACGATTAATAACTGCTGCAACTTACCAGACCCAAGAATCCGAGAATCATAACACCTGCACGGAGACTGCAGCCACAGCAACAAGTTTTCACCAAAACTGCCATCAAAGATGATTACGCGAGGTTACTTTTCTGAACGTCAAACTCAATTGAACTGATGCAAGCTTAGCTGCTGGATGCTTTTAAACTTTTTACTTTCGAGATTTTTCCCTGTTCAATGTTACTGTTGATTTCATTCCATAATTAAGTTATTTTACTTCACGCGTGTATGCAAAGTTAATGTCCTCTTCATTGATATGCTAATCGAAGCTCGACAAAGCGCTTTGTATCAAATAGCGTCTGGCGAAAGAGAAAGTTTAAAAAAAAAATTGCGATCACTATCAGTTCGTTCCGCAATACAAGCCATTGTTTTGAATGACAAAAAAGAAAGCGAAGCCTGAATTTTTCTATTATAAAAAAAAAATTTCCTTTTCTCACACACCAGTTTAGCCTGGTGTTACCAAAAATTGTGTAAGTCCTGGAACATTCTGTAGAACAGTCTAAAACCCGAACTCATTCAGTCATGGCCTTCTTGTATAAGAACATTCTGGGACGTTCTATTTCTTATGTAATTACTCAGATTTAGAAACCGTGTTAATCTTCTTAATTTAATTCTTTTAGAGAGGTTTCTAGATTGTAATGTTAATTGCTGAACAACTTTTGAAAGCCTTTGCAAACCTCTCAAGACTCGAAAAAGTTGCACAGACAGGACTGGCACAGGGCAAACATTGCAAGTCGTCAGAAAGAAATGGATAGCGAGAGGTTATTTCGTCGTCTAGAAAAACCTTTTTTTCGCCACTGTTTTATCCGACATGGACTAAGGTCATTGTGATACGAGGAAAACGTAAGTTTTTGTTTAAGCAACCATGAAATATGTCGTACAATCTACCGATTAACTTTTCTACGCGCGCAAGGTTTACCGTTAAATTGACACGCGAGATGGTCTTTAAACTAAGAAATATTAGCTAGAAATTGCCAAGAAATAACTAAGTAAAGCCTCTTCTGTTTATTTAATTGTGTTGAATGTACTCCTGGATTTTTTCTTGGCTTGGTAATACAGAAGAGCGCCACAAAAGTTACCTCAAGGTAACAGGAGATTAAAATAGGGTGCATGGGCACTTAATGTTGTTGTAATGCATTTAAGTGATTTAACACCTAGATTGCTTTTTTTGTGATAAGGAACGAAACAGCGTTAATAATCGGCGCAAAACTGAACCCTTTCTTCTGCATGGATGCGTAGGTACAAATGGGTCGCTAAAGAACCGATGCACTGATTTGAATATATTTGCCCACAGTTTCTGCCGGGTTTTCCGTGATATTTCCTTTCTTCTCTAAAGAGTTCAATGAGAACAGCAGCAGCACAAAAACCTTTAGATTTTTCTCAAGCAAACTATCACTTGACCTAAGGATATCCTCAATTTCCATCTCCGCTGACGACTTCATTCCTTTGAGGAGGTGTACTTCAGACGTCGTAATTTGACACGTTTACAAGTATGAAAACAGGCTGTACATACACAAATACAACCGAAGAGCATTCCCGAGGGGAGGGTGTAGTGCGCATGCGGATCTTTTTCCGTTTCAATCTACAAAAAGAGTTTGAATTCCGAGATCTACCTGTAATAATGAAGAAATGTAAAATGGTTTCCGTGTTTACATAGCCTGATGTAAACACGCGGGAGGTTAGGAGAACACGAGATAAGCGTAGGAAACCACGACGCGAAGCGGAGTGGTTCCAGCTTATCGAGTTTATCATTAGGGCTTATCGAAGAGGAACGAAAACCGTGTTTACATACGCTCATGTAAAATGGTTTTATGGCCAATCAGAGCGCGCTTACTATTTGAATTATCTTATAAATATAAATATATATACATACATACATATATATATATATATATATTTTTTTTTTTTTTTTTTTTATCCCTTAGCCGCTCTCTAATTAACAGGAATCAGATTGTGACAAATTGTTCCAAACCTCAGTAAGTTAATGGCAAGGAAATTAATTGTCAGTAATTCACATTTTTCATTTTGAAGTTGTGAGAGTTTACACGTTTGTTTATTGCAATGGCGTGTGTAAATCTGATCTTTCTTTCACAAGAACCAAATTCAAATGAGGTACTTCAACTAGACACAAGGGGATTTAATTCGGCTTTTTCTCATTGAATTCCTTCGGTTTCTGTTGAGCAATTTACGGTACAAATGTCTAAATTGAACGGAATTGGAAAGACTCACCGAAAGCATCTTTGTAGAAGAACTTAAAACTTCGCCCCCTTTTACTACGAACAAATTGTTTAAGAAAATTCAGACTGAGATTAAATGAATGAAAGTTCCATCGATAAATTCAGTTGTATCCAAATACCTCGCGTTTTAACTTTCCAGGCCGCTTGTTAACCAGTTTTACGACACTTTTGTTTACACAAATTCATTTCGAAACCAATATTTTTCAGTCAACGAAAGTGATTTGAGGGTGAGAAAATCGAGGACTAATTAGTTAATTATCGGCTTGCGCTTCTGATCGACTTCTTTGCTTAAAAATATTGCCCAGCTGGAAAAATGTTCTACATTTATGAAAAATGGCAGCGAAGGTAGGGATGTACTCGGCAACTCCGAAAGCAGAGTCGTTACCGTGCCCTCCGAGAAAAAAATAAATGGTAATATCAACAGCAGTTTTTTTTCCGGGCCTTTTTTTTTTTTTTCTTTTCAGGAATATGTAAAAGTTAAGTGGCGATCTCTGTAAGAGCGGTCCAGGGCATTTCGCATCGGAAAAAAGTTTTCCCTCAAACTTTGCCCAATAAACTATCTTTGGTAGCAAGTGAATAAAACCACATTAGTTTCCGGAAATACGTTAAAATAAAAATTTTAGAGCTATCAAAAGTCAAAGCTGCAAAAGGCCCTTCTTTGACCTCTTGCGACATCGAAAATTTCAAAAGTTGAATAACCCGGTCCTCGTATCACACCGCATGCAGCAAAAAATATTTTGTATTTTTAAAGTGTGTGATATATAAGGTGTATAAAATGCATTTCAATTTTGATATTCGTTTATTCAGAGGCTCGTCATAATTGATTTAAAAACACTCGTTGGACAGCTTTCTGAAATTGGTCAAAAGTACTCTTTCTTTCTTGGTTGATATTGCTCAAGTCCAGACCAGACCATTAAAAACTCCGCTTGATTTCTGCTAATAAGATGTTTGGCTGCAGAAAAATATAAAAACATCTTTCACTTATTGATTTTCGTCGCCGAGGTGACTTCGAACTTTTAGCGATATCGCTAGCGTGACAGCTCATTATGCAAATTTGTTTATTGAGCAAACTCCGACCGTTTTATGTGAGTAGCTCGATAAATCTTAGATTTTAACCATTTTAAGTAGATAATATAGTAGGACAGAGCTTTATGACCACACCGATTAATACTTTAAACATTTTAAAGGGCCAAAATTTGACAAATTTTATTATCTCGTGACGAAAGACGTCAACAACAACGTATCGAATATCATAATTTGATTAGCGCTCGCAAACTCTTTTTTAAAAATTTGGCTTCTGTTATTTCATATTTGAGTTCTGATAGCTTACGCTATTCAAACCTGTATGAAAACTTCAAAACCAAACCACAGGATTCTATTTAGTGTAACCGGCGATAACAGCAAACACTGAAATACACCGTGACCAGTGACTCTGTCACGTAATTCCATGGTGTAATTGTCCTGAAAACTTCTCACGTCTAAGTGAAGCAGCGATTGCTCGGATTTCTAACTGAAAGGAAAAAAATGATATTTGGCCGTCACACCTGCCTGCACCACAGTCCCTGTTCATAAGTTTGGAGAGTTCGTGCGAAAAAGGATATCGCATTCGCTTAATAGGTGGACGTCATAACTAGATTGCATAACAACCGCACCCCGAAATAACTTCCTCCATTTTTGCAAGAGGTGCTGCATTTGTATCTTGCACTTTGAAAGCGAGCTCAAAATGTTTGTACATGTCTCTTAGCATCTTGACTTTGAGGCTAGGCAACCTTTCTTCTCTTGCCAACGAGCACACATCATAGATATCAAACATGATTGGATGTTTCAGTCGTATCTCATCCATTATTGCGTTCCTCGCCTCTCTCAAACACTCTTCGTCTACATCAGACGCGGATGCCTCCATCAAGTGGTGGTCTTCGTCGTCTGCGTCGGTGACGTCATCCGATTCTTGTTGTAATTTAGATCGCTGTTTAAGGCACAATCTCGAGAAGAAACCCTGAATCTGTATGTTGGATAACCACTCTGTTCTATTCTCTCTCCATCTATTGTGCAAGTAGTTCGCATATCCTTTGCTACTTTCTCTGGGTTTGGTTTCTGTCAGTGTCTCATCCAATATTAAATTTCTGTGTCAGGTACTGCTTGACATTTTGCGAAAGCTGTTCAAGAGCCCATCCCATGGGAAGCTGTGAAGCACTTGTCGAGGGTTCTGTGGCCACTGCGACCAGTAAGTCGAACTTTCACCTTCTAATGACAACGACTGAAAGTGATGAACCCACTGCCTCTTCACTTTGTCATAAAGACTTTAAGTCATGCTCGCAGGCACAGGACTTACATGATGAACTAGCTCGTTCATATGGAGGTCAAGGTCGGCCTGGGTCTTAAAATCTTCATCGCAACCAGGTTCAGGGCATTGATGGGAACTACCGTCGTTGGCATCATTGCTTTCTCCTGCTCATGCAATTCGTCAAGCAGTAGTGGGGAAAAGTGGAATCTCCTTCAACAGATCCGTCTTTTTTCTGTAGAAAAATTTCAATTTTAATTTTACTGAATAAACTTTCCAGGCCTAACATTAAACGCTCTTTTTAAGCAAATGAAGATCATCGCAGTATATACTCAACTTAAGCAGTTGAGAAATAAGGCCTGAAAAAAAATTCAGGCCTGAACGGGAATCGAACCCATGACCTCTGCGATACCGATGCAGCGCTCTAACCAACTGAGCTATCAAGCCAACTGGGAGCTGGTCAATTGTGAGTTCGTTATATACCCGTAGATGGAGAAGGTGTGATAAGAATACATGAAAGTCATATATTTGTACTGCGGAAAATACATTTTAAGCAAATGAAGGGTTCGATTCCCGTTCAGGCCTGAATTTTTTTCAGGCCTTATTTCTCAACTGCTTAAGTTGAGTATATACTGC